GGTACCAGCAGCATCCTGTTATTACGCAATTATACATCTCCATCCCAGGCGAGGTAAGTGATGCCGTGACTGCCCTTTCGCGGTGCCTGGAGGGTGTAAGGGTCTGAATGGGGAAAAACAGGCTTCAGCTGAACCCTGGTAAGATGGACTGGCTGTGGGTTAATGGCTCCTCTGTATCCAGGACTTTGATATCTTTGGTGCTAGATGGGGTAGCACTGCCCCAGACAGACCCAGTGCATACAGTAATACCTCGGTTCACGAACGCTTCTTTTCACGAACAATTCGGTTTGCGAACAGCAGCGTTCACAAATTTTTGCTTCCATTCGCAAACTCCGCATTGAGTGACGAACACGACCCACGGCCATTTCCCTGCTCTGACACGTGGTCGTGGCTTCCTCTAGGCGAGATCGCGGTCATAGACAGACACTTGCTGTGAAGCTTTTTGGTGTCACCTCAAGCGAGGTTAGTGTTCTCTCTCTTCATACTGTACTGTACTTTGTTTCATATTTTTGTGGTTAAAAAAAAATACATATGGTTCAGAACGGATTAACCTTATTTACATTGAACCTTATGGGAAAATTTGATTCGGTTGGTGACCGATTCGGTTGGCGACCACGGTCGTAGGGGTCAGAACAGATCAACCTTATTTACATTGAACCTTATGGGAAAATTTGATTCGGTTGGTGACCGATTCGGTTGGCGACCACGTTCGTAGGGGTCAGAACAGATCAACCTTATTTACATTGAACCTTATGGGGAAATTTGATTCAGTTCGCGACCAATTCGGCTTGTGACCAGAACCATGGAACAAATTAAGTTTGTGAACCGAGGTACCACTGTAATTTGGGGGTCCTCCTGGACTCATGGTTCCTACTTGAAGAGTAGGTGGCAGCCGTGGCCAGGAGGGCCTTTGCACAACTTCAGGTTGTGCATCAGTTAAGCCCTTTCCTGGACTGGGATGCCCTTTGAATGGTCACTCATGCCCTTGTTATCTCCCAGATAGACTACTGCAATTTACATGGGGCTACCCTTGAAGAGTATCCAGAAGCTACAACTGGTCCAGAATGCAGCTGCATGAGCTATTTTTGGAGACCCAAGAAGGACCCACATAACACCGTTGCTCTGCGAGCTGTATTGGGTACCAGTTTGCTTCCAGGTCCAATTCAAGGTATTGGTTATCACCTTTAAAGCGCTATATGGCATGGGACCAGGTTACCTGAGGGACTGCCTCTTCCCCATGACTTCAACCCGTCCCACCCGATCACACAGAGAGGGTATGCTCCAGACCCCCTCAGTAAAAGAACTCCAACTAGCGGGGTCCAGAAGGTGGGCCTTCTCTGCTGTAGCCCCTGCCCTTTGGAATA